TTACTTGATAAACTTTACTTGCACTCTTTATCCTAAAAAATGATTCTGAACACCCATGACAACTGGAATGTGTCTGCCTTTAATGCTCTCTGCAATGAGTCGCGTCAGCTTGTCCTTGCCTCGAGGATTAAGATGCAAACCATGGACAGTATGTTCGCTCCTCAATATTGAAGAGGCAATAACATGCCTACAAGTTCCATAATAAACACTGTTATTGTTCATCAGAATATATCAACGTGATATTGCCTAGCAGCGGCCGTCTCTTTCGTAATTAGTAGAATTTTGTTATAGGTTTCTGCAGTTTTATTATTTTTCCAAGGTATGCCATACAGTGTTAGATCATAAGGGTACTGTTAATTGTGAACACGTCGAGGCTTGCAAATTATATTTATGTGTTGATTCTGAATTATGAGATATGTAGGATTTTGCAAAAAATAATTATGATGTCAAAAATTCAAGTTCTTTATGGCAAAACTAGTGTTTTATATGTGGCTTCGTAAGAAGTAAATTGAGGACTGAGTATTGTATAGAATATCATTGATTTTTTAAAATGATAGATACATTTGTCTCTTAGGTAGATTTATATATCTATGACAGCCACCACCATAAGAACCGCAGATCTGTAACAGGGACATTTTAATTTTTTTAGACATGTTTAATGACTTAATACATCAGTAAATGGTGTGAATAGTTAACAGTACTCTTAACTAGAATTTTTTGAGGATATTCATAGAAAGTTCATTAATCAAAACCATGAAGTATTAACAGATAGTATGGTGATGGTATGAAACTTTGAGATCTGTCCAGGAGACTTCAGTAATAAGCTTTATTGAAAAATTGTTGTTGTTATTTTTGTTGTTGCTGCTGCCACCATCATTGTCATTGTTGTTTTAACACCAGTAACGAACAATGTGTTTACAATTCCACACAATAAAATAACCTGACAACAAGGGTTTGAGCATGTGACCATCCGCATATGAGTCCATTTGCTGGATGGTATTTTATTGTGGTCTTATAAATTTTCATAACCTAAATATTAAGAACACAATATTTATAGAACTGCAACTCTTTGCAATAGGAACACGTTGGTGTATATAACGCGACAAATAACGTCACGCCTTCTTGGTCATAGCGAATTTATTCCACATTCGCTCTTACAATCACACAAATTACAGATTCAATTTCCTGCCATTGGCAATATCACAAATACTGGACTGCAAATGCGCCAGAATACAATTAACTGGTGACTGACTCGTAACTAGAGAACTCGAGAACTAACTGCTGTCTAACTCGGAACTGTACCTCATAAACTCGAGAACTAACTGTGAATAGTCTTCGCTGCTCCTTATTTAGCCTCGTTCCGGACAACACAGAAAACAGCCACGTAATAGGCACCACCGTTGTCTGGCGCCGTGTTGCTAGCAACGCTGTCGGGAGTTGTTTCCTGGTGTGTAGCAACGGCGGCATCCCGTGTTACATCACCGTGGGGAGAGGCGGGGTGTTGACTGGCTTATTATCGTAGCAACGGCAACGCTCCGAAAGTGTTACGTCACCGCTGGCGGGGTGAGGGGTTGTCCTCCATTGCGCAGCACGTCACAATATTATGACTTCTACTCAGAGCTCCTTGAATTTTTTTTATTTTAATGTACCACAAATATCTGGACATGTTTGTATTCAAATGTAATAAATTTATTATTGTTTTCCGGTCTTGAATTAGAATCATGTATGGTCTTTGTTTTGTGTTCCTGAGTGCTAAATAAACTTAACAGGAATACATGTTGTTCATAACTATGTTACCTTTAAAGTTTCTATTGAAAATGATGCTGTCACTTTTTCATTGACTCTTTTCAAATCATAGAGTCAACCAATCAGTAGCAATCACAATGTGTATGAAGTTTAATATTCCTCCTATGTTAATTTGATTCAGTGGAATTACAAGCAGCAACTGAAATATGTGAGATAAATTACAATGGATTGGTAAATAATTAATATTTATCCTGAATATGGCATTGCACATTGTGTAATGTGACTTTCTTGCAGTATTGCATTGAACTGAAGCATCGTCAAATTTTCTCTCTATATTTTACAGCCTCATGTAATAATTTTATGCTGTAATTTTATTTTTACAACAAATCTGTTCTTTGAATTATGTGTCTCTTTGAAAGACTAAATTTTGGACCTTTGTTTTTGAGGAGCTAAAGAGGAGAAGGAGAGAAATCTGAGTTATCTTTAAAACATGTATTATATCGAACCTCAATATGTGGCAACTCCTATATCACAGTTTTAAATAGTTTTGACTTGACTAAAGGCTGTTATTAATGTAATTGATTCTTTTGTAGATTGTTTAATTTTAGCTGACAGTATACGCATGTGTTCTGTTTTTATTTTGCTTCCTTGTCTACATATTTATACACTTTATTTTATATTGCTCAGTAGCAGTTTTTTTTTATTATTGGTCCAGAAGGACATTACTGCAGTGGAATATATATAGGAATAGAGTACATCTGATAACCTAAAATGTATATTATCATCGTGGTTCAACAAATTCCTGACTGACAGAAAATGAAGGAAAGCAATAGGTTATGTAATATGTTTGAGGGTATTAAGGATGTCAAGTTCTGAGGCTAAAAGAAAGGAATCCCAAAGACCCATGAAATTCTACGGCCGTTCATTGTGGTTGTTTATTTAAGTAAAATGTTCATGAGATTTGCATATATGAAACTTGTCATTGACATAGTCATAGATAATAAACATCATGAAACAGAATTCAGGAAGTTGTTGTATGATAATAAAAAATGGATACAGTGAATTTCAAGCTCTGAGATATCATTTTTCTAACTAAGATCTTTAGAAATGCCTGTGGCCGAAAACAGTCTGAAGAAAAGTATTATGTTCTGAAGTGGTAACACCTGTGAATGCTAAACTCTTGGGTTGTGTTTTTAATGGGGCATTTTACTGTTAATTGCCTACATGGATCTTTGTACTTCATGAAAGACTGATATAATGGAGTGAAAAGCAAGCCTCTCATATGTGAGTCCCATGCGGACAATGTAAGTTCCTATGTAATTAGCCTGAACCAATTTTTCATTGAAGTTCATAATGTTACAACATGATTGGAGTAACCAACTAACTCCATGGAGCTTATTCCTGAATGAGAAGCCACCACTCGCTCAGCTACTCAAGAATTTTCGAGCATTTTATGGAAGCTGAAGGTTCATTACTCTGTGGGAACTGCCCACATTCAAGCAAGTGACATATGACATCCCACAACTCTATTCATGAGAGCCCTCTATTGGTCCCCATCCTGAGCAGCCAGATGAATCCAGTCCATACTGCCCCATCTATTTTAATATTATCCTCCCACCTACATATAGGTGGTCTAGTGGTCTCTTTCCTTCTGGATTTCCCACCGAAACCCTATATGCATTCATCTTCACCCCATGTGTGCTAAATGCCCAGCCCATCTCATCATTCTTAACTTGATAATGGAAACTGTATTTGGTGAGAACATAATCGAAGTACAGAGAATAATTATAAATGCAGTACTTATCACAAGTAATGTATTTTCAATCAGACTATTAGTTGTGTGGATATTCCATTACAACACATAAGAGTCCAGAGTTGATGTGACGTGGTGTAATGTGGCTTTAGTCTCATGACTTTGCTCCTTACTTTCAAAATATTATGCAGTGAAAAATATTTTGATTAACTTTGTGTTTGTGGCCTGCTGTAAACAGATAAGGATTACAATGCGATTACTCAGAAATGCTCTCATGGTTGGAGAACACGTTCCATGTTTTATACACATTGCAGGTCATTATAAATGCTAAGCTATGTCACTCATTTATAATTGAGTAGATATGTGTGTGTTAGGCATAATGGCTGTTCAGCTGAAACCAAGAACTCTGGTTTCCTGATACAGTGTTGAAATGAGTGAGGAAAATGAAGCAGTTCTTTAACATGATAATTTTTTCAACTTCAATATTAATATGGTTCGTACCTTCTCTAGAGATTTTTTGTTTTTACTACTCTAACTATCAGAATAGTATGTATTTCTTTTGAAGATAAAGGTGCTATTGAAAGCTTGAACTGTCATTTTCCCTGTAAAAGTAGAACTAAAAATTTGCAAAAGAATGGAGTTTCTACACAGCATTCAAAACCATGCTCTCATCCTTCCTGCTGTTCACTGTTACTCTTTCACATTAGCCAAGTGACTGAGCAAGTTTGCTTGGGCAATAATGCTTTTTGACTTGTGTTCTGGAGAAGCCCTTTTCCCCATTCTTGGCCAGGGTGCCAACTACCCTGTCTGAGGTTCTTTTTGTGGCTTGGTGCAGATCCCCCAGACAAATGCTGGGGTACTACCTCAAATTAGGCCATGACTGCTTCCTTCCACATTCTATAGATATCACTAGTTACTAATATTTCTACCCTCCTGTATAATCTGTGTTGTCGACAGAGTTGTTAGATAAATAAATATTATCCAGTTGCTAGTGCATTAAAACAAGCCTGTGTCACAGTCTCAAGCTTTAGAATGGGCTCATCAGATGTGACACTAACAAATGATTCAGAATTGTTTTGGTTGTGAATATGTGTAATGATCCCTTGTAAGTATGTGGTGGTTGAAGCTGTGTAACAACATTAGTACCTTAACCTACATAAATAGAATAAAGTGGAAACTAATCACTGTGAGGGAGTCTTAGGGACTTTTTTTTATTTATCAGTAATCTGTCAGACGACAGGTCCACAGTCTCTCCCAAAACAGTTTCTCCACTTAATGCGATGGCATACTCAAACCCCCTCACCACGATAAGGTGGAGGCACCAACGAGAGGGTTAGGGACTTTAGGGACGAGAAATTACGATCGTGCATACTGTATGTCTCAATTTTTTTATTCTACCTTTTCACTTTTTCAGCCCATGATTTTCTATCTAATAAGTTAAACTTTCTGTATAATGCCCTGAACTTGTTGTTTTGTGACTCCCAATATTTCTGTGCTTCAGGAAGCAAGAGGCCCCACTGCACCATGTAGGGGACGAATCAACAGATCAGAACAATAACATCACTATGACAAGCGAGGATCTGCTACAGCCTGGCCATGTGGTCAAAGAGCGATGGAAAGTGGTGAGTTTCATATAGGCCAGTATTCTGTAGGTTCATTCATTCATTCATTCATTCATTCATTCATTCATTCATTCATTCATTCATCAGTAATCTGTCAAGATGACAGGTCCACAGTCTCTTCGAAAACAGTTCCTCCACTTAATGCGATCTAGAGCTTTCTACTTCAAATGAGAATATCCTCTTCTGTCCCCAAGGTCATCCAGCATCTTCTTACGTCTTCTCCCTCGTCTTCTGGTCACTTCTATCCACCCCTCTATCTTTCCTTCCATAACTTCTTTTAGAAGGCAGTTACTGCATAAGATATGACCAATCCAATTAGCATTCCATTTTCTTATTTCGTGTAGGATATTCCTCTGCTCACTGACTCTAAATAACACTTCATTTCTCACCTAATCGGTCCAACTGATCTTCTCCAGCCTTCTCCAAAACCACATTTCGAAGCTTTCCAGTCTGTAGGTTGTCACAACAAAAATCTACCTCCTCAATCTGACAAGGCATTGGGACTGAGGATTACCAAGGTTTCAAGTAAAGTGAGTACAGTATTTGGATCTCCAAGCAGATATTAGTCGATCGAGTTTGAGTTGTAAGTTATAGGTATTGTGGGACCACCTGTTCACTCTGTAATTAGTATGTGAAAACATGTATATGTTTAATTACTAGTAGAAATATTTTTTCTTTTTTTAAATAAAATATACCATAAATGTCACAAAGTAAAAATAAAGAGGACAGAAAGTACAGCAGGATCTTTAATAACAGGATCACAGGAAAATTTATCAACAGCACTGTGAAGTAGAAATGGCATGACATGGAAGCAATTGTAGTATCTTTGAAGATAATGTACAGAAATTCATCTTTAGTGGCTGAGGAAAACCACAACAAGCATTACCAGTGTTATTGTTGAGATTTAAAGTCCTGTCTGAATAGAAGTCATATGTGTTCATTACTTTACCTGCTCAGTGATATTCTTTTGAGATTTGAGCCTCAAAGTTTTGTGTGTGTGTGTGTGTGGGGGGGGGGCATGATGTTGAATAGAAAATTTGGTGGTTGTGCTGGGAATCAAACTTTGCTCCCCTCTGTTCTGCCACCTGAACAAACTATCATGATTATTTAAAGCTGTCTACTTTCTGAATGAGTCATCACAAGTTATGGTAAAACTGAAAATCTGTACATAGTGGTTAATATTTCTGCTTCACATTTGAAAGTAGTTGTTCCTTTTTTTCTTCCTTTTCCTTCTCTTCTTTCTCCTTTGGCATATTCACCTTCATGTGAGTCATCTAATAACCAAGACTGTCCATCTGTCCTAAAGCTCATCCTCTGTTTCCTCTCTTATTCTTCCTTCATTTGCATCAGGTCAGACACCAGCCTGGTAAAATGTTAAATAAAACAGGAAACAAGCAAAAGTAGTATTTAATCGAGTTCCTTTTTTTGTTTATTTCTGAGTGTGGGAGTTTATTAGGCAGACATAGAGTGTAGAGCAGTTTTCGGTTACTGTTACTGTTATTGCATGTACAGTCATATATGTTTCCTGATGGCATTGTGGTAAAACCACAGTAATGTCAAACTAATGATTAGCTCTTCAGTCACATGAATTGTATGCCTGCAAGTATCTGTTTATTTGCACTGGGCCAGGATAGGGAATATTTTTCTTTAATGGCATGACACAAGAACATAGCTGTCCCCTGTCATCACCATCCATTTTGTAGGATTTGAAGTTCTCACAGTGGTGGTTATGAAGAGTTCTGTCTTCCAGGATAGTCCACTGGAAGTCAATTGGCGTTTCAGAGGAACATACCACCTCCATCTCCAGTGTCAAAGAATAAGTCAAGCAAGAAACCCCGAAGGTGTTATGTTCCTCCAAAACGTCATTTGACTTTCAATGGACTGCATAGCCTTATATCCCAGAAGATAGAACTCTCCATCCATTTTATTAGCCTGTGAAGGATGTTAATGGTGCCTTTGCAAATCATTACACAATCATGTCTATTATACTGGTTATACTTTGAAAACTACTAACATATTCATAGATATTACAGCAAACAGTTGGAGTGGGAATTCACACACAGGTACAAGAATAACCTTAAGTCCATGACAGATGCTTGTTTTATTGGTAGGCAGTTTACTGTTTGATCATTGCCTGTTGTAGGCCTTTGTCTGAGTATATGTAATTTTAATTATGTTTTGAAATTATTTTATATCAGTTATAAAGAGTTGGTTGAGTGCTGGTACATGGTTTGAATTTTAACATAAGATCAATATCTTCTGGGATGTTACACCGTGTAGCTTGGTAGATAGGTACCAACATTTTGGAGGAACCTCCCTGCAGGATACCCTGAAGATGGAGACAGCATGTTCCCCAAAATATTATTACCTATGTACTAAATTAAATGAGGTTGCATCCCAAAAGACTTTAACATTCACTGCTATGAGAACCTCCAGTCATGATCTACAAGACAAAACTTTCCAGGATAGAAACTTTAAATCTTTCTTGATATATTTTGTTGAGAGTTTATGTTAATTGCTTATAGGCTGATCAAGTTTGCCACTTTACTTGGCAGTCTTAATGAATTTGTAGAACTTGATACTTATTCATGCTGATCAAAAATGTTTGAACAAAGTTGTGGATCCGAAAGAGATATTTTTAATATCGTGTACTTGCCTCTGTTAGGATAATCCATTTTTGAGGAGGAAGCTGTAGGTTGGAGTCAACAGAATTGCGTAATATTCCAAATACAGATTATGTTTGAAGTATGTATAATTTCTTTCTAGCTTTAGATTAGCTGCCCAGAGTAAGATGATTAAATCTCAGTAAGGATAGTGGGTTATGTGAAACTATGAAGTAAAGTAAATAGAGGAGTCTCATTAAGACGCTAAATAATACCTTATCCCAGCCCTTTTGAAGTTGAAATTGCTATCGCAAAGTTGAAAAGGTATAAATCACCAGGTAATAATCAAATTCCCGCAGAACTTGTTCAAGCAGGAGGCGAAATATTAAGTTCTAAGATCTAAAAGATAATTACTTCTATTTGGCATAAGGAAAACTTGCCTGAGCAGTGGAAGGAGTCTATTATTGTACCAGTACACAAGAAGGGTGATAAAACTGAGTGTAGTAATTATCGGGGGATATCACTGCTATCAACTTCATACAGAATTTTATGAAATACACTTTTATCACTTTTCATCTTCTTCCATGTACTACTTCTAACTGTACCACAATGACTATCTATCTTTTGTTATTATATTTATATGGTGACTGAATTTAAATTTAGAATCCAACTTAAAACTGATTCTGAGCAGCTTTGTCAAGACCAGTTGCTCTTTACTGTTTCCTTTCAAGTAATTGTAATATTCCCTTCCCATCTTCATCTTTCCTTCACTAAATAATAATGCAAAAATTAGGTGCACTAGTCAGAAAGTCCATTTTATGTGGGTCCCTGTCACCACGGTATGGCACGTCCTCAGGTTGCGGATGGAGGAGACGCCCTCCAGTTTTGGAGGGAAGCTGGGAATATATTGAATAAACAGTTGCGGACAGCTGACAAGGGGTGGCCCTCCAGCTTGGGGGTTGGGCGTGGGGCCAACAGCTCCTCACCATAAAAAATGGTTATGTTACGAAAATGAACACGAAGCCTCAGACCTGGATGGATTCCTTGGATAAAAGCTAATGAAAATGGATAATTTGTAATGAATGTTCATGCCCCAACAGAAGATAAAATTGATGACATAAACGATAGATTCTATGAAGAACTAGAACATGTATTTGATAAATTCCCGAAGTACCCTATAAAAATTTTGTTAGGAGATTTCAATGCCAAAGTAGGGAGGGAACACATTTTCAAACCAATGATTGGGAACGNGGTATTGTGTTGATATCTCAAATAGGTTTGCGGCTTTGGAAAACATGGAAACTGAGGTGGATGTTAATAAAGCTTGGGAAACTATTAGAGAGAATATAAAAATGTCTGCCAAAGAGATTCTAGGTTATTATGAACCGAAGAAGCATAAGCCATGGTTTGATGAAGGACGCTCAAAATTATTAGATCAAAGAAACTAGGCCAAATTGCAGTGGTTACAGGATCCAAGTGAGTTAAATGGGGATAATCTGAACAATATAAGACGTAAAACTAGCAGGCATTTCAGGAACAAAAAGAGGGAATATCTGAAGGCAAAATTGATGAGCTTGCAATTATCAGTAAGAACAAGAACATTATAGACCTGTGTAGAGGAATAAATGACTTTAAGAGAGGTTACCAGCCTAGCAGTGACTTAGTGAAGGATGAGAATGGTGATCTGCTTGCAGATTCCCACGATATTTTGAATAGGTGGAGGGACTATTTCTCTCAGTTATTGAATGTACATAAGGTCAGTGCTGTTAGGCAGACAGAAATCCATACTGCTGAGCCGTTAATAACTGATCCTAGCCCTTTTGCGTTTGAGAGTGCTATTGCAAAATTGAAACGGTATAAATTGCCAGGTAGTGATCAAATTCCGGCAGAACATATTCAAGCAGGAGGCGAAATATTACGTCCTAAGATCCACAATCTAATTACTTCTATTTGGCATAAGGAAAAATTGCCTGATCAGTGGAAGGAGTCTATTATTGTACCAGTGCACAAGAAGAGTGATAAAACTGACTGTAGTAATTATCGGGGGATATCACTGCTATCAACTTCATATAAAATTTTGTCCAATATTCTTCTTTCAAGGTTAAGTTCATATATAGATGAAATTATTGGGGATCATCAGTGTGGGTTTTGATGTAACGGATCAACTACAGATCAGATCTTTTACATTTGTGAGATATTGGAGACAAAATGGGAGTATGATGAGACAATACATCAGTTAATCATAGACTTCAAGGAAGCCTATGATTCAGTTAGGAGGGAACTATTGTACAATATTCTAATAGAGTTTGGGATACCCATGAAACTAGTTAGGTTGATTAAAATGTGTTTAAACAAAACATATAGTAAAGTCTGTGTAGGTAAACATTTTTCTGACAAATTTCCTATCCAGAATGGTCTAAAACAAGGAAGTGCTTTATCGCCACACTTTTTTAACTTTGCTTTAGAATATTNAGATATTTGGGAACAACGATAACGGATCGAAACCTGATTCAGGAGGAAATTAAGAGGAGATTGAACTCGGGTAATGTTTGCTACCATTCAGTCCAGAACCTTTTTTTCTTCTTGTCTGCTGTCCAAAAACATGAAATTTAGAATATACAAAACTATAATTTTGCCTGTGGTTCTGTATGGGTGTGAAACTTGGTCTCTGACATTAAGGGAGGAACATAGACTGAGGTGTTTGAGAACAGGGTGTTAAGGAAAATATTTTGACCGAAGAGGGATGAAGTGACAGGAAGCTGGAGAAAACTGCATAATGAGGAGCTTCATAACTTGTACTCTTCTCCAAGTATAATCAGAATGATGAAGTCAAGGAGGATGAGGTGGACAGGTCATGTAGCTCGAATGGGGGAGACGAATGCGTATAGGATATTGGTGGGAAAGCATGGAGGAAAGAGACCACAGGGAAGACCAAGGCGTAGGTGGGTGGACAATATTAAAATGGATCTTAGAGAAATAGGATGGGATGGTATGGATTTGATAGATCTGGCTTAGGATAGGGACCAGTGGAGGGCTCTTGTGAACATGGTAATGAACCTTGGGGTTCCATAAAATGCTGGGAAATTCTTGAGTAGCTTCAGAATTAGCGGCTTCTCAAGAAGGGCTGGATGTATGGATTGGATGGGTGAAATGAGAAATGCATACAGAATTTTTATGATAAAACCTCTCAGTAGGTGACTACTTTGAAGACCAAGACAGAGGTGGGAGAATAATGTTGAAATGGATTTTTTGGAAATTTATTGCAGGTGTTCCAGTTCTGAAGTTCGCTGTTTAAGTATGGTATATGCATGTATATAGAGGAGAAGCTTTTCATTTAGGTTTTGCGCTGGAGAATGAGTTGGAGACAAGGTTAATAGGAGAAACCAAAGGAAATCTGATACAGGGGATATGATCACAGTTCTGCTAGAACTGCTAGACCAAAGGCTTCTAAATGTATTGTGTGGATTTTTTTATGTTATCTGTTGTCCATGTTTCTGTACTGTAGTGGATGATGTCTTAAGAAAATCCCTACTAAATCTAGTTGCAAACAAATATACATGCTGTTGTCCGATATTTGTGATTCTTGCACACTAAGTATCAGCATTGATGATATAGCCTTGTTTTGAGAGATGAGATTATGCAGATGAGAAATATGATTCACTCTGTTTTCTCATCTTTCAACTTACATTACACATAAGTGCTAGCTGCAAGCTCAAGACCAGCGGAACAATATGCATGGAGTCTCACATGTTTAAATAGAATCATCCAATTTTTACATATATCTTCTTTATGAATATTCCATGTCTCGTGTTGGTGGTATAACCGTTTGCTTACATGTTGGGCTCCACCTTCACTCTATAACCGTCCTTTCCTTACGTTGGTGCCACCTTCCTTCTCTTACCGTCCTTTTGGCCCTTTGGTTGCTGGTTGCAGCTGCTTCTCTAGCCGTTCCCTCTCACCTGTTGGTACTCTGTGTTTGCAGGGTGCTGCTGCATCCTTATTCAGTTCTGCTTCCCTTTTTTGTTGTTGTTGTGGATAATTGTTTGTGGGATATGGGTTACCTGAATGCTGGGTGCCAGTAAGCTTACTATAAAGGCTTACATTTCAGGAAAAAGGGGGGATGAACCAGAAACTACAAGTGATAGGTACTGCATTCGCACTAGAGTGATGAGATTCTGTCTCAGGGTGCATACGGGCCTCACGTCAGCGGGAAAGATAAGAGTGTTTATAGCTAGGCACTACCACACACTGTTTAATGAGCAGTTCTTGATATACAGGTAACAGCGCTTGTCCTTAATCCCTTAAACAAACTTGAAATCACTCAAACATTTGCAACCGGATCCCTGGCTAGTTATTTAGCGACTGCTTCTTTTAGCCCAACACATAGAAGTAATTACAGTTTCACTTAAACTTTTAAGACAAATTAGGATTCACATTAAATTTTGCAGAGTTATTCAGAGATTGTTCCCGTAACACACTTAAACATAATTCTGTTTTAACTTTGACTTTTAAACCCAACTACCAGTGACGCTAATTTTTCGGCTGTACACTTGGAGAGTTGTTCAGAGACTCCTTTCGCAGACTGACTCTGCTCTGAAGCAAGAAATCACAGCTTCAACTCCGCCTCCAAGTTACTACCCTAATTACGGCTGATTGGAACAATTCAAATTTAGGGAATTAACCATAATTCTCACTGCTCCAATCACCTAGCTTTAGTTTGGGATTTTGGACCTTAAAATCCTAACGTCTTTTTTGACAGCTGCTTGAAAAATTATACCAGTAGCGTGGGTTGCTGGCCTTCCCGCTTTTGACTTATGGGGCTCAAAACCTGTCAAGTGTAACTTTACCAAAGGATCCCGCCAGTCAACTTTCGAACTGAATTTCCAGGAAAACTCTGCGGGGTGCTTCCTGCCTGGTCTGTGTAGCAGTGAAGCAGGCCCTATTCTTGAAACCAAGAATCGGGCTAAGTCACCCTTGAATGTTCCTTACTACATCCTATGCTTAATTACTATAAAAAGAAATCTTGATTACAAATAAAGCTTGTGGTGTCAGTGGTACGGCTACAGTGGATCCACAAGGAAATGACTTGAGTAATAGGACTGCAATAAAATATTCAATCCTGAGAGAAATTAGTTAAATTAATTGGGAAATGTTTGAAATTGTTTAACAAAAAATTTTCTTATATAATAAAACAATACACACAATGTATTTTTTGTATTTATTATTCATTATAGCATATTCTAGTGGTATGCATTATCTTAAGGTGAAAACAGTTAATTAGAAAGTTGCTTACAAACTTACATTCAGTATTAGTGGCAAGAGTGCTCCGACAGAAGAGATTCGAGGTGACTCGAGAAGTGAGATACGACATAGGAAAAATCCTGAACAATTTTAATATTTTTAATATTTATCAGTATATATGATAAATATATATTTTAATTATTTTAATATTAAGACAAGGCACGCAGTGAACTAGTTTAACGTTAATCGAATAAGCACCTGAAGATGGCACTTTTGTGCCGAAACATGTAGTGCGGGAGAAAGGAGTGAGGTAGATAAGTATATGCACTAGAAGATGGTGAAATAAATCATGGACTTAAATCATAACTTGCTAACGGATCGGTCTCCCCAATAAATCAGTCACTCTATTGAAATAGCTAAAGAGGAACATAGCATCCATTGAAAATGTTTGGACTGTCACACATGGACAGCGCAGCATTTGTATAATTTGTTTTAGACTTACAGGAACTAAAGAAACATCTAGAGCTGGCACCAGGAAAACATTCCTTAAGATTCATTATAAGAAAAACTGGAGTACTTGTAAGGACATGCCTTGCTGTGTGCGAAGTTGAGAATCATAGGGATGGGGATTGTTTTTGACCCAAGAACATTAGGGCAAACCTTTAGGCCTCCATCTTATTATATCTTCCTAAGCACTTTTTTATATTTACTGATTTTTTATATGTAAGGAAATAATGTAATGGAGCTCATTCATTTGGTGCATTTTTTCCCAATTTATTGTGAGGTATTATGTGTGTAATCTGCTGTTAGTATACTCATATATATGAAACTTGTAATTGTCATTATTTCTTATTGTTTTATGGGAGAAGAAAGTTGTATCCTGCTGTCTATTATAAAATGTATCTTGGCTGGTAAAGCAAGTGTCATGTAACTTCGAACAAGGCGAAGAGTAACCTTGAATGCGCAGAAGAAAAAGTTCAGACAAGGGGGTGGGTTCGAGGTTTTGAGAAGTGACAGTCTGCCAGTTGTTTGTTACTGAAATGCGTGCTTTTATGTTTCTCTGCACAGGTGCGCAAGATAGGAGGTGGGGGTTTTGGAGAGATCTATGAAGGCCTAGATCTTGTGACAAAAGAACAAGTAGCACTGAAGGTAGAGTCAGCCCGGCAGCCAAAGCAGGTACTGAAGATGGAGGTTGCTGTACTAAAGAAGCTGCAGGGTAGGTTAAGGTGCCTATATAAGAATTTGTTATTTTAGCAAAGTGCTACATACTCAGAATTAACATGTTTATCCAAAAATTTATGAAGTATTTAACTGGTTTTTGAGGTGAAAATTATTGAAACCACTTGGAAAGCATGATTTGTACATTCTACTGAACAGAGTGATCCATTAATTGAAAGGCAGTGCTTCAGTTGTTCTATAAAACCTGTCCAGTTTTGCCAACTTAGTAAATTTCATGCTGAAGTACTTTTATAAGAAGATGGGTTGTTAGCCCCACACTCATCTGCAAGGCTGAAGGACCACTGCATGTTGACTGTCTGCTACTGCATGTTCATCTTGGGTTTCATATGATTTTGAAATGTGACATATATGTAGCAACTTAACAAAATTAGCATTTGTGTTCTTAGTAAACCATACATGCAGTAGTTAATGTCCTGAGCGAGATAGGTTAATGTAATGTATCATTATTTGTAGTTCTTTATTACTGCAGCAAAGCATGCAGTGGAGCTTTTTGAGTTCACCCTACCTGAAAGACAGTTTAAATCGTACTGTACAATGATAATACCAAAAAGGGCATTAGAACTAAGGTATAATGGAAAGAGACCTATGGGATGATCCAAAACAAGATGGTTTGGTCAAATGCTTGACGATACCAAGAAGAGAGAAAAAAAACGTAGTATTTGCTGTTGAGATTAAACCAACTAGTGGAAAATTTAATTGTTATTATGATGTGCCACATTCAGGGAAGGAACACGTATGTCGCTTCATTGGCTGTGGCCGCAATGACCGATTCAACTACGTAGTGATGCAGCTGCAAGGCAAGAATCTTGCAGAACTCCGTAGGGCCCAACCCCGTGGTGCTTTCTCTCTTTCCACCACACTCCGTCTTGGCTTGCAGATTCTTCGTGCAATAGACTCCATCCATCAAGTTGGCTTCCTACACAGAGACATTAAACCTGTAAGTTTCAGTCACAAGATAATCATGTCTGGATGATGTGTTCGGAGCATGTGCAACTGTGCTATTAGCTGCTACCTGCAACAGTTTGTTGTGAAGAAGTGTTTTGAGCAATGCCAGAACTAGCTATGCAGTATTCATTCAAAGATTCAAGTACGTTAAAATTAATGTAACACAGTCTCATAATTTCTGTTCACAAATAAATATCCTAAGAACCTGATTTCAGTCAGAGCTATCCATATTTTAGTTCCCTGAGATTATAGTTAATTTATTTATTAATAGTTACAGTTATTTACTTAAAATGAACTACCTGCATATTTATCCCAATGTTCAGACTTATATTAATATAATGTAAATAATATAAACAGTAATATTTACCATCATATTCTTGTCTTGTTCCAAAATGTCTGCATTTGTATCCTGTATTAATTAGGATATATATGGAGTTTTATTTATTTGGCAGAGAAGGATATTCAGAAGCTTCCATCTTTCTGTGCACAATTACAGTTCACTTCTCACTGTGTACCAGGGATGGCAGAGCCATCTGATTCATGGGGGCATGCAGGAATGAATATCTGCATGTTAGTAGAATTTCAAACTTGTATTCTTTTATGCCCTGTGTATTCTACTTTAAAAGGAAATATTAAACATTTTAACAGTGCATTGTACTTATTTAAAAGGCAGCTATGGTGTTAACAGAGAATCAGTTACAGTATTATAAGAACTAAAGAAATAAATCCTTGTAACTTGTAGTTTAAGTGGACAGTTTTTTAAAGAACAGAACTCTGACTCATCTTGAGTACATTGTCACATTGATACATAATTAAGAAAAAATGTACTTACTGTTTTCCAATAAATTGAAGGGAGGTGCAGTTTCAAATTAAGGATTTGCTGGTGTTAGTGATGGAGATGTCTTGGCTGCTAAGTATGTAGTAAGCTATTCAGAAGAGTTGATGTCACCTTCAGTAGTACTCCTCCATGATTTGCAACTTTCTCCCATTTTTCAGACAAATCTTGTGGTTTCCTCTGTCCAGAATGATCACTGGTAATGCTTAGGTTATATCAATGAATTAACCCTGTACAAGGTACCTTTCTTCATAGGGTAACACCGGATTAAATGCTTGATGTAATTATATGCTGTTATAAATTATTCGCACAAATTAATTTCAGTAGTACCCTAGACTATAACCTCTTCCTCCCATATCCTTTCCAATTCATTACTCACTTGTTATCCTAACCTTCAGTGCTATATATACTGAGCTAATGACAGAGTCATGAAATAAATAAATAAAAAAATTAAA